AAATACTAATGCCCCCAACTATACAAAACAAATATTAATGGATATGAAAAATGAAATAAGCACTAATACAAGTGTAGTGGGGGACCTCAATATCCCAGTGTCACAAATAGACCATCTAGACAAAAATATCAACAACAAAGTAGCAGAACTGAACCAAGTCTTTGAACAAATACACTTAGTAGATGTCTAAAGGTGTTCCGCTACAACAAAGTCAGAATATACATTCTTTTTGGCTGCACAAGGGTCAGTCTCCAAAATAGACGACATGCTAGTTCACAGAACATGCTTAAGTAAATGCAAAAGAATTGAAGTTATTCCCTATATATTAACAGACCACAGTGTAATTAAAATGGAGATGAACAGCATAAGAAACCGCAAGAACTTCACAAACACATGAAAATTGAATAACATGCTGCTAAACAATCAATGGGTCACAGAAAAAATTAAAGAAGAAATTAGACAGTTTCTACAATTAAATAATAATGCCAATACAATATACAGGAATCTATGGGACATAATGAAAGCAGTTCTATGAGGGCAATTCATAGCAGCAAATGCCCATACTAGGAAAACAGAGTGAGCTAAAATAAACAACCTAATTTTCAACCTAAAGCTCCTAGAAAAAAGAGCAAGATTAACAAAAAGCTCATACAAGGAAGGAAATTATAAAGATCAGATTCGAAATTAATGCAATGGTGACTAAGAGAATGATACAAAAAATCAACAAATCGAAGAATAGGTTTTTTCGAAAGAATAAGCAAAATTGATAAACTCTTGGCCAACCCTACTAAAAGAGGAAAGAAAAGGCTCAAATCCATGTAATTTGAAATGAAAAAGATGAAGTCACAACATACCCACCAGAAATCCAGAGGATCATCAATACCTATTTTAAAAACCTGTTGTGTAATAAAATGAAAAACATAGAGGAAATGGAGATTCCTATTTACAAATGAACTTCCAAAGTTGAACAAATAAGATATAAAAAGTCTAAACATCCCAATTATATTCAGTGGAATTGAAAATGTAATTAAAACATTACCAACAAAGAAAATCCCATGTCCTGATGTCTTCAGTGCTGAATTCTACAAAACTTTTAGAGAAGAACTATCGTCACTACTCTTTAAACTCTTCAATGAAATTGAAAAGGAAGCAATACTTCCAAATTCATTCCTGGAAGCAAGTATTACTTTGATTCCAAAACCAGGGAAAGACCCAAACAAAAAAGAGAACTACAGGCCAATCTCCCTAATGAACACAGATGCAAAAATCCTCAATAAGATACTGGCAAAGAGAATGCAAAAGATCATCAAGAAGATCACACACCCTGACCAAGTCAGATTTATCCCAGGGATGCAAGGATGATTCAACATACGTAAGTCAATCAATGTAATACACTATATTAACAATACAAGGATGAAAACAATATGATCATCTCAGTAGATGCAGAAAAAATATGTGACAAAATTCAACACCCATTCATAAAAACCCTACAGAAAATTGGAATAGACGGTCTTAATCTCAGCTTGATAAAGGCCATCTATGAAAAACCAACAGCCAACATCATACTACATGGTCAAATATTGAAAACCTTCATGCTAAAATCAGGAAACAGACAAGGATGTCCACTATCACCACTCCTGTTCAATATAGTTCTGGAAACATTAGCCACAGCAATTACACAAGAGAAAGAAATAGAAGGAATAAAGATAGGAAAGGAAGAAGTTAAACTGTCATTATTTGCTGAAGTCCCAAAAAACTGCAAAAAAGAGTTGTAGACTTAATTAACAGATTCAGTGGAGTAGTGGGATACAAAGACAACACTCAAAAATCAATTATCCTTCTTGTACACAAATAACAGACTCACTGAGAAATTAGGGAAACAATTCCGTTCACAATAGCATCCAAAAAAATGAAATATTTAGGAACTGATCTAATGAAGGAGACAAAAGACCTCTACATTGAAAACTATAGCACTATGAAAAAAGAGATCAGAGAGGATATAAGAAAATGGAAAGATATCCCCTGCGCCTGGATAGGACGAACCAGTATAGTGAAAATGGCCATACTTCCAAAACTTCTATACAGATTCAATGCAATCCCAATTGAAATCCTAACAGTATATTTCACAGAACTTGAGCAAACAATCCAAAAATTCAATTGGAAGCAGAAGAGACCTAGAATAGCAAAAACCATTTTAGGCAACAGACATAGCAGAGGGCATCACAATTCCCAACTTGAAACTAAACTACAAAGCCACTGTGATAAAAACAGCATGGTACTGGCAAAGAAACAGACCCGAAGATCAGTGGAATAAATTAGAAGATGCAGAAACAACTCCAGATACATTCAGCTACCTTATCTTTGACAAAAAAGCCAAGCATCCTCACTGGAGTAAAGATAGCCTCTTTAATAAATGGTGTTGGAAAAACTGGATTTCAACTTGACAAAGATTAAAACTAGACCCCTATTCTTTCACCATGCACTAAAGTAAAATCCAAGTGAATTAAAGATCTGTCAAAACAGAAATACTAAACTTGCTGGAAAATAAATTAGGTATAACTCTTGAAGACAATGTCATAGGAAGAGACCTTATGATCAAATCCTCAGCAGCATGGGAACTTGGACAAAGAATCAACAACTGGGATCTCTTCTTATTAAAAAGCTGCTTCAGTGCAAGAGAAACCACCAACAAAGCTAAGAGACAACCCACAATGTGGGAAAAAAATTTTACCAGATGCTCCTCACACAAAAGTCTACTATCTAGAATATATGAAGAACTCAAAAAAAAAATCAGACCCCCCAAATATAAAGACCCAATTCAAAAATGGACATCTGAAATGAACAGGCATTTCTCAGACAAATAAGTAAAAGCAGCAAATAAATATATGTAAAAATGATCAACTTCACTGGTCATTCGGGACATGCAGATGAAAACAACCCTAAGATTGCATGTTACCTAAGAAAGAATGGCTGCTAACAAGAAATTAACCAATAACAAATGCTGGCAGGGCTGTGGGGAGAAAAGAACCCTTCTCTGTTGGTTGGAGTACAGACTGGTGCAACCACTGTGGAAATCAGTATGGAGATACCTCAAAGAACTAGGATTAGAAGTTTCATTTGACCCAGCTATCCCTCTGCTGTGTATCATTCCAAAAGGATTAAAAGAATCATACCACAGCAATATATGCACACCCATGTTTATAGCAGCACTGTTTATAAAAGCTACAACTTGGAAATGACCCAAATGCTCAACTGGAAACTGGGTAAAGATGTGGTTTTTCTACAAAATGGAGTACTACTCAGCCATAAAGAATAAGAACCTAGAGACATTTATAGCTAAATGGATGCATATTGAGGCCATACTCTTAAGTGAAATAAACAGGACACACTTAAGTAAATATCGAACAGTTTTTCTGGTGTGAAAAGCTAAAAGTGTAAATAAGGTTCAAATGGTGTAACTGATAGTGTGAAATAGGAAGAAAATGTCTAAAGGGGAAGTGGGAAGGGTAGGCAAAAGGAAATAAGGGAAAAGAAAAAATATGAGAAAAGGAAAAAATGGAAACAAAGTCTTTGTAAACAGGGAAGGGTGAAGGGGGTGAAGGGAGGGCAGGGGCATGGGGAAAAAATAAGAACCAAGATATATCATTTAAAGGTACAAGTTTCCAATGATAAATGTAACTGTATTCTTTGCCTTAACTGTACCAATAAACTATGGGGGAAAAAAAGATTTTCAAGAGAAACTCTTGGGGAAGTGAGAGGAGCTTTGGGAACGTCACACATGATGCTTGCTTCAGATCTCCTGCCTTGCTGCTAGTTTTCCTTGTGAGCATTAGGTAGAGGTGTTCATTTTCCAGGGACTCTGAGACATTCTAAATAGATAATGTTAGCCCATATTTGGCCTTGAGGAATTTGTTAAACTTTTAGTTGATTTCTTCTAACCTGCTTATCTTTTTCTTCCATGCTGTAACTCTAATAAAGATGAAGTATTTCTCTTCACAGATACTGAGTCCAGATTGGTTTACTTCCTTGGCTAGAGGATTTAGCTATCTAATGGGTTCAAGAAAAATTGTAGATTATCTAGCAGTTTTTTTTAAGGTGAGAGCAACATTCTTGTAGCTTTCTACATTCCAAATAAAACAAAAATTCTCATCTAGTTATCTTTATAGGCAAAATTTATATATTCCTTTTCTAATTATGAATGAAAATTAAAATTTTGACTAGAATTTTGCCAAAATTAACTTTGGGAGAATGGACATTATACAATTTGATCTTTCCACCCAGGAGCACTGGTATTTCTACTCATTTATATGAATAGAGTCCTCTAAATTCTTTAGTCATGATTTGTTACCTGTTTTAAATTCCATAGTTACAATCACAAACTGAAGTCCCTTCTGGTTTTAAAATATAACTAAAAATAAATAGGAAAATCAGAAATTATTATGTCAGAATGAAACAGTCAGAGGTACGTAGGGTCACAATAAAAATTAAGCACTGTATTCAGTTCTCAGGTTTCTCAAAGAGACAAAAAGGGAAGCAGCAAGTTATGTAGTTATAGTTTAATATCAAGAATGTAGGGCCGGGGATTTAGCTCAGTGGTTTTGCCACCTGCCTCACAATTACGAGGACCCAAGTTTAATCCCCAGTACCAAAAAAACCCCCCAAAAACAAGAATGCAATTTTAGCTGGAGAAATTTTTCTTGCATTGAATCCTGGATTAGGTGTGTGAGTGCGGGTGTGTGTGTATGTGTAGTTCCTTTTAGAAATAAAATAATATATATTAAGTGCAACCATTTTTTAATACAAAACAGTGAAGTCCTTCTATTAACCTCTTGTTTTCCTCAACTTAATAATGACCAAAACAATAATAATTATTATTATTAATTATTAATAATTAGTAACAATTATTATTAAACAGGAATTCTAAATCACAAATATGAAAAGTTGAAATAATCTTGCTTTTCAGAACTGTTTAAAATATTTAAAAACCTTTCAGAGGAAGATAGCAAAAATGAAATAAATGTCGTATTTTATGGTAACACAATGCCATGATCAGTTTAGTGCCACAATAAAAGCAACACAAATCTGTATGTATGGCCAGAGAGAGGGATGTGGAGAAAATAAAGAGAATTGAGAGGTAGATAATATCTCTTTGCTTATTTCCTGTAAATCTTTTTTGTAGAAATCTCTGGAAAATTCCAAGTTAGGTAAGTCTTAGGCTACCAGCATACAAGAGCAGAACCAATATAGTTTCCTGAAATATAAAATAAGTGTCAGTTTTCAGGGTAACTCCTTAAGGGGGTTTGGTTCCACCAATGAATAAGGTTCCTAATTCTATGGTAAGCTCATCCTTTGGAACATCAATCTCATCGTGTGGTTCTTCCCCAAGCTTCTTCCACCAGGGTTCTTGTGCATGCTTCAGGGTGATGAGATGGGCCTGTTTGGCCTTTGCTGCCACAGGCCTGGATCTACTTAGGAAGAGCTCAGGTTCTTTCCCTTTTGCGTCCTTCAGAGTTGGTGCCTCTGCAATAAACAGAAAATAAACAGCTAAATGGAAGAGACCTATGCCACACAAGTAGGAATTTAGAAACTACAGAGCTACAAACTACTACAGCAAGAAGAGATAGGATTCTAAGTGTGGTAGCAGCACCCCAACTGCCTGGCCATTTCTGTGTTTAAAATACGTAATTTTTGTTAAGTGGCTTAGATGAAGAAAAGAAACTTTTGTGAAAGAACTTCATTAAAACTTATAAAATGCTCTGCAAGTGAATGGCATTGTAAATATGGCACTGTCATTATCTCCTAAAATATGACTAAAATCTTTTGGGATTATGTAGTAGAAACTGGTTAGTACGGTTCACCATCTTTGAAATTTGTAACTTCAACCTAACACATATGAAGGCTAGAGGAAGCACACAAGAAGGAGGTTGTGGAATCTGTATCATTTGAAAATATGTTGTTATAATTTAGATGTAGAAATTCCATGAGAATAGAAATTGGGCAAGAAGATTATTAATAGTGTCATCCTTTTGAAGATTTTAGATGTCTTATATCTTTCAAAGGTTATTCCTTTTATGAAACAAAAATGGAAGGAGCATATACTTATTAGCTGTTCAATACTGGTGCTGATCTGGGCCATCAGGGCCTCTCTGTGCTGCTGGGCTCTCTCTTCCAGGGCCCTGCTCATAAAGTAGTGTTGTAGCCGTTCTTGAGCTTGGGCATGGAGCTCCCTGCTGGCCACATCTGACATCTGAGAGCTCTGCAAATACAGGACAGAAAAGCTTGTCGTAAGAAGGATGTATATAGCAAAGTTTGTTTTACTCACCACTTACCAGAAATTCTAGGATGCTCAGTTATTACTTTATCAATAGAATCTTGTGATTGATATCTACATGATATTCTTGTGGATGTATTGAACAGTCTCTTAAAAACAGCCTTAGACAGAAATACAGAAGGGGAAGTCTATTTTGGTATGCTCTCATACATCACTTCTTCAGATAGTGTGAAATTATGTGAGAAAAGGTAAAATTGAGAGACTACAGTGAAAATTACAGATCGTTTGGTAAAGACAGTGTCCTGAATGAGGAACAATTTTCCTGGATCCCATTTGAAAACTGTCTTACTTCTTAAGCCATTCCCACTCCTAAACTTATCTAAGGTGGCTTCACAGAACAAGGGACAAAATCAACTAGAGGATCATATTTTACTCGGGATTGGTGGTGCATGCCTGTAGTCTCAGTACTCTGGGAAAATGACGCAGGAACATCACAAGTTAAAGCTTAGTTTGAGAAACTTAATGACTTGTCTCAAAATAAAAATAATAATAGTTATAATAAAAAAGGCTAGGGATGTAGCTCAGTGCAAAGGCTTTGGGTTAAATCCCCATACTACAAATAAATAAATAGCCAACCATCCAACCATATTCCTTTGGTAGTCAACTAATTTAAGGGAAAGTTAAATGATTAATTTAGGTACTAAGGATAAAATAATCTTAGCTTTGGAGTTTATAGTTTCTGACACCACAACATTCTCAAACATTCCAGTTCCTGGATCTTTAATGTAACCCTGTCTTTTTAATACCTTACTTTTCAGCCATAGGTGCTTAAGCATGTGCACTAAAGTATGGCTAAAGCAGCATTTAAAATAACAAAAACAAAAACTGGAGTATGCTTCTCTCTCTATCTGTGAGTACCCATGCATTCAACTAACTGTAGATTGAAAGTACAGTATTAAACTGAACATATACAAATACAATTTTTTCTTGGTATGTTTCCTAAACAATATAATATGACAATATTTCATATACCATTTATGCAGTATGAGATATTAGAAATAAATTAGGGATGATTCAAAGTACACAGAAGGATGTATATAGCTTTTGAAATACTATGCCATTTTATATAAGGGATTTGAGCATCTGTGAATTTTGGGACATGAAGGGTCCCAGAACTAATTTCCTGAAGATACTGAGGGACAACTGTATATATAAGTTATTTAAGAGAGAGAGAGAAAGAGAGAGAGAGAGAGAGAGAGAGAGAGAGAGAGAGAGAGAGAGGGAGAGAGAACATTAAACATAAGAGCTACAACTATAAAACTCTTCGAAGAAAATACAGGAGTAGTTTCACAACACTGGCTTGGGCAATGTAGTTTTTTTGGACCAAAGCCCCAGGCAACAAAAGAAAAAAATAGACCAATTGCCCTTCACCAAAATAACTTTAGTGTATCAAAAGACACTACTAAAAAGGCCACTCAAAGAATGGCATAAAATATTTGCAAATCATATATATGCTAAGGGAGAAATAACTATTATATATTCCAAGAACTCTTAAAACTAAATGACAACAAAATCCTAATTCAAACATGTCTTGAGCAGACATTTCTATAAAAGTGACATATAAATGATCAATCAAGATATGAAAATATACTCAAAATCACTAGTCATTACAGAAATTCAAATCTAAACCACAATTAGATACCACTTCATACCTATTACCTATTTGAAAAAAAACAGACAGGAACACATGGTGACAAGAATGTGAAGAAATCAGAACCCTTGTATTTTGCTGCTGAATGGATGAACAAAATGTATACACATACAATGAAAATATTATTCAATCTTTAAAAAGGATATTCTGACATAAACTAATTTGAATAAATCTTATAGGCATTATTTGAAGTGAAATAAACCAGATATGAAAGAACAAACACCACATGATTCCAGTCACCTGAGGTCCTTAACGCAGTCCAATTCACTAATACAAAAATAGAATGGTACTTTCCAGGAGCTAGGTAAAGGGAGAATAGAGAGTTTAATGATTAATGAATATAGTGTTTCACTTTTCCAAGATGAAAAAAGTTCTAAAGATGAACTGTGGTGATGGTTGTACAACTATGTTAGTGTACTTAATGTCACTGAACATGATTATAATGATACTATTTACGTTTTATATATTTTCAGTACATACAAAAATAAATTCAAATATAAAATTTTAAATATTGATACATGAAGCTACACTGAACTTACTGAATTAGAATCTCTTAAGGTGCGTGTTACCTGATTATATAATTTTAATAAAGGTTATTACATTTATAAATGATTAAAACTGCTGAAAGCAAGATAGTCCTCTCTACAGAGCTTAGGAATTGTCATAGATTTGTTGGAGTGGAGGAATGCTTGTGTCTCTTCACTGTTTCTGCTCACAGAGAAGAACTGCCAGTTATGTTTCCTCCACTCTTTCCAATCACTCTGGCTCTTAGCTAAATGAAGAGTAGTTAATATGATTGATCAGAAACTAAGGGATTCATTGGTCATATTTTATTAGTTGCCAGGCAATTAGCCTCAGGGGCCTGGGGCTGGAGATTTAGCTCAATGGTTCCACGGCTTGCCTTGGCAGCACAAGGTCTCATCTCAAGTTCAATCCCTACTAAAAAAAAACATTTAAAAAAAAAAAAAAAAAAAAAAAAAAAAGACTCAGGGCCCCAAATTTCATTTAAGTATTTAGGTTAATTTTTAAAAGTCAAGTCACACTGAGGTATACATGACATATATTAATGTCCAAATATTAACATGGAATAGTTGTAAGCTTTGATATACATCTATGAAATAATCATCACAATCAAGATAATCAACACTCAGCTCCACCCACTTTCCTTGTGCCATTACCCTAACCTTCCTCCTCACCTCACAAGCAGCTAATTTACTGTTACTACAGTTGGTATTTCTAGAGTTTGCATAAATTGAATAATATAGTACATATTCTACACTGGCCTCTTTCAGTTAGCAGAATCATTTTGAGGTTTATCTGTATTGTCATGAGCATCAGTAATTTATTCTTTTACACTGGTGATATACTACTGTTTAATGCTGTTGGACAGTTGGGTTATTTCTAGCTTTTGGTGATCATCGTTAATGTATGAGTGTTTGTATGGATAGATATTTCCTCTCTTGGGCAAATACCTAGGACTGAAATGACTGAATCATGTGGTATATATATGTTTAACTGTTTAGGAAACTGTCAAGCTATTTTCCAAAGTGGTTCTACTATTTTACATTCCCATGAATACCCTGTCAGTCACAGTTCCTCAACATGCTTACAAACCTTTGATGTGTTCAACCTTTTAAATATTAGCCATTCTAGTAGGTATGGAGTACCTTACCATTATCATAATTTGTATTTTCTCTAATGACTAATGATGTGTTTTTTTCATGGACTCATTATTTGCATATTTTCTTTGGGTCAAGTGTCTGTTCAAATCTTTTGTCCAAATAATTGGTTCATATTTTTTCCTGTTTTTATATTATGTATAAAAAACCTTTATCAAATATATGCTTGGCAGATATTCTCCCAATCTGTGCCTTCTCTTTTTCTTTTCTTCTTTTTTTTTTTTTTTTTTTTTTGAGACAGTGTCTCACTATGTAGTTGAGACTGACCTGGAACTTACCATGTAGCCCAGGCTGGTCTCGAATTTGCAGTGATCCTCCTACCTCAGCCTCCCGAATGCTGGGACTATAGGCATGCGCCACCACACCGGGCTGGTCTTTTTATTTTCTTAACAGTGCCTTTTTTTTCTTTTGGTATGGGGGATAGGAGTCAGGACCTTTCACTTGCAAGGTTATTAAGTGTCTTTTGAAGAGAAGTTTTAAATTATAATAGCCAATTTATCAATATTTTTCTTCTTTGCTTTTAGTGTTGTAACTAAGAAATATTTGCCTAACTTAAGAGGTCATCGTTTTTCTGTTTTCTTCTAAAAGTTTTATCTTTTAAGTTTACAATATTTATTTGTTTGTTTTTAAATTTAATTTATTTGCAGTACTGGGGATTAAACCCAGAGTTTTCATATGTGCTATATGCCCAGTCCTTTTTAAAATATTGAGACAGGGTCTCACTAAGTCGTTGATTTGCCCAACTGGGCTCAAATTTCTAATCCTTCTGCCTCTGCTTCCCAAAGTATAGGAATTAGGCCAGGGATATAGCTCAGTGGCACTGTGCCTGATTTGCAAGTGCAAGGTCCTGAGTTCAGTCCCCAAAACCAAAGTACTGGGATTTCAGGCACGTACCACCACACCTGGCTCTTATGATCCATTCTGTTAAATTTTGTACATGATGTGATGCATATATCTAAGTTCTGGTTTTGGGGGTTTTCTCTTTTTTTAACATATGGATCCAACTGCTTCAGTTTCTCCACTGCTTTAACTACAGGTACTACTGGTCATGCAGTTGACTTATTTGGTCATACGTGTGGGCTTATTTCTAGATTAGCTTCCCCAACTTCCAGTTCCTAGAAATCATGATTCTACTCTTTCTATTTCTATCTTTATGACTATTCTATATATCTCAGATAAATGGAATCATATAATATTTGTCTAGCTTATTTCACTTAATATTTCTTTAAGGTTCACTGATTTAGCTTCATGTATTGTGAAGTTCTGTTATTAGGAGCATAAACATCTAGAATTCTTACATCATCATGATTAAATTAATCCTTTATCATTATACTTGTTCTAGCTTTTTATTTTTCATATCGAATACTCTATAGTCAGCCTTCTCTTATTTTGAGACAGGGTATTACTAAGTTGCTAAATTTCCCAGGCTCTGTTTAACCTTGTGATTTTCCTGCTCAGCTTGCCTCAGTGCTGGGATTATAGGCATATGCCATAATACCTGGCCAATCCTCCTTTCTTTCTTTTTTTTGGTATCAGGGATTGAACTCAGGACCTTGAGTTTGCAAGGCAGGCAGCAGAACCACTGAGCCAAATCC